TTAACAGGTGTCTCAAATGCAGCATGTCTGAAATAAACTCAATATCCATCCTGCTCGAATCATCTCTTACAATGAGMCCTCCCTCTGGAAATTGGATCCAAGAAACCCAAGACTTGTCCATAGAACCTATACCTTCAATATCTGCCAGATCTTGTCAAGCACCCAGATTTCAATTTTTGCCTGTTACTCTCACACCTCATTCCTGCTGGTCTGCTATAAATTGGTATCACTTCCAACACAAGATGCATAGACTGCTGGACAGCTTCCTATCCAGTGCCCTGAAGATAGTGGCTCTTCTCCAATGCATGGTCCATGTTGTATCCATAGTGATTCTTCCATAATACAAATCTGAATATGTCTGCCCTATTTTTGGAACCCATTGGTGTCTTATCACTTTTTAAATGCATTCAGTGGTTCTTCTTTATTCATTTAGTTATTAATAAAAATAATGTATCAAGGACTGGGGTTGTGCCAAGCATGTTTGAGGCACTGACTGGGTTCTATCCTCTGCATCACATATAAACAAATAAATAAACACAGGTCCATTAATAATAGAAATTTTTTTTAAAAAATACATCAAACCCATATTCCAAATGGTTCATATCAAGTCATAATGTTCACTCTGATCGTATTCCCTTATTTCCCCACGTGCATGACAGGCAACAATCTAAATCGTATATTCATAGTTAGCCTCACTTGCTTTTTATGAAGTCTTACATCTCTATATGTATGTTCTTAAATTTTAAGGGTTTTTTTCTTTGCTTTCARGTAGTCTATATATACTTACTCTTTGTGGGGTATAACTTATCATTAATTTACTACTTTATTGTCAAGATTCATCCATATTGATGAAAGAGCATTCATTTTGATTACTATATAATAATTCCTTCAATCTATATACCAAATGTCTATCCTTCAGTTCTTTCCATTGATTGGCCTGTATGTTATTTACAAGTTTTATTCCAGGGAGTAGTGGTGCTATGAACATACTTGTGGAAGAAATTTTCTTGGATAAATGACTATGAYGTCTGAGTCCTGTATGAATGTTTAGATTTCAGAGATAATACTAAATTGTTATCTGAATTCACCACAAAAGTGTAGACATGCATCAACTCTAATGATTGGCGTTATTAACCTTTATAATTGTTGTTAGCTGAATGGATATAAATGCATGTCATTGTAGCCTTGATCTGTTTTTCCCTGATTATAATGTATATTAATTATCTCCTCATAAGTTTAATTGCCATATTGTTTGCTTTTCTAAAGTGTCTATCTATTGCTTATATTTTTAAATAGGGTTATTTGGGGTTTCTGCTTTTTCTTTCTTTTTTTTTGTGTGTGTGGGAGGGCAGRATATACTAAGGATTGAACCCAGGGCAGCACTGTACCCCTAAGTTACACACCCTCAGCCCTTTTTTATATATTATTTTGAAACAGGGTCTCCCTAAGTTGCAGAGGTTGACCTTGAATTTGCAATCGTCCTGCCTCAGTCTCTTGAGTCACTGGGACTACATGCATAGACCATAGTCAGTTTATTTGGGTTTTTCTTATTAATAATAAGAAACAAATACACACACACATATTATCATTATTTATATATACTTGGTAAGAGTTTGTTAGCTGTATGTTCTTTGAATATCTTCAACAATGTGTGACTTCTCTTTTATTTTTTGATGTCAATGTTTCCTGTGTTTTGCCTTAGAATTTTCCTTATTTCAAGATCATGTAGATGCCTATTTTTTTTTTCTACTCAAGTTAAAATTTTGGTTTTGGCATTTATGTTTGTARTACATCCAAAGTTTATATCAACTGGGAAGAAGAGTAAGGCATCTTTTTCTACACAGATTACCATTTCATTCTCAGTTCCATCTATTGAATATATACTCTTTTTCGCATTGATCTTCAGTGCTTCCCCGTCATATAATGAATGTTCCAAATGTGTGAGTCTATGTYTAAGGTCTAAATCTATTTCCTTGGACAATTTATACTTCTGCTTTGTGTCAATACTATTTTGATTACTCTAAATTTTAAGAGCTGTTATTTAAATAGTCAAATTTTAACTCCAATTTCTCTTTTTAAATTATTCTGGTGGGAGATACACTGAAATCTTTATTAATCTATTTAAAATTTTGCATTTTCTTCTTTAAGTAGTTATTTCCTAGTCTTGTATTGTAGACCTTAACCTTAATGCCATAGCCTCTGTGAAATTTTACCTATTCACCTAGATTGTTTCCTCAGCTTAGAGCATCCATCTTCATCCTAACACCCACTATGTGTTGTAATCATGTGTACTTTACTTTACCATTTTAGCTGAATTTGTATATTTAACTGAATATGTGTCAACAATGGAAACTRCATATACAATAGTGCTCCCATGAGATTTTATTACCTAGTAAGGCTACAGCAGTCTTAGTTATATAAACACACTCCACAATGTTTCCCACTGTCTCCCCTTCCCATGCTTAAGTAACACATGACTGTATGTGTGTGTGCATGTGGAGAGAGGAATGATTACTTTGTGATTTACTATAAGCTCCATGACTAGAAGAATCCCAGTTTTATTAAATTCCAAACTGCAAAGGCCTTAGTTATATATTCTTAGGATTTAGTACACGGTAAATACTAAATAAATAATTAATGAATTAATAAATGAAAATATCTTAAAAACTAATCCATAGTGTATGTTAATATTGGGTACTTAAAAATCATATAAAGTCTAAAAATATAAGTCATCTTAGAAACCACCAAATCCAACCCAGAAAGATCAAATTCTGTAAACCAAAAGTCATTGTTTAGTAGATTTAAAAGAAAAATATAAGTCAGACACACTTTCTACAACATCACTTCATATAAATAACTCTAAATATATAGTACAAATTCCTAAATAATCTGAAATATTAATAAAATATAAAATTAAAACCTCATGTCTATTTCCTATTTTACAGGACAAATGATATTAATGTGCCAAATTAAAGTACAGTGGACTGAATGTTTCTGCCCCAAATTCACCTGTTAGAACTCTAAAAGGTTTGGCAATAGTATTAGGAGGTGTGACCTCGGGGAGGTGGTTAAGTCCTGAGGGAGAAGCCCTCATGATTGGGATTAACACCCTTATAGAAATGTCTCAAACAGATCCCTTAACCATCTGCCAGGTGAAGTTAGTGAGAAGTCAGTTTTGCATGAGAAACAGGATCTTCACAGACACCAATCAACCAGTGCCTTGATCTTGATCTTCCCATCATCCAAAACTGAGTTGTAAGTTTTGTAAGTTTCTGTTCTAAGTGAGTCACCCAGCCTACAGTGTGTTGATCAGACAAAAAGTCTTACAGATGAAGACAACATGGTTTAACTTTACAATTAAATACAAGGAAAAATTATTTTTGCCTTGCATCTTTAAATTTCACAGTTTAAGGTTAAGGAGTAAGCATTAAGGACCTAAATCAGCAAAACTGTACTTTTGTGGGTCCCTGAGGAAAAGGCTGCTTGTTTTGCTTTTTTTTTTTTTTTTTTTTTGGCTGAATCAGGTCATAACTTTTTGTGTGTGACTGAACTAGATGCCTCCATTCAACAAAGTGATCATTCTAAATGGTTGTGATCCATCAAGACAGACTTCCACTCAGCCAAGAAATAGCTCAACAGACTCAAAAAAAAAAAAAAAAAAAGGCTTCTTTACTTCAGGGCTTTAACTATGGATCAGTAAATCAATCCATGTTCATCTATCAAAACTCGATGGACTCATAAAGTTCTTCTTCCTGAATAATTGTAGAATAAAGCTATGAAAATGCATATAATCTACCTAAATCAGTCTAGACTCARTCACTTCCAAAGAACTTTTCTCTGAATTCTTTCTACCAGTCAAAAACTAAACAAAAACTAAAGTGAGAGTGTTAGATACATTTTAAAAAGAGAGAATATGCAGAATTTCTACAACGGAGTGAGAGCATTTTTTTTTTTTTAATCTAAAGCAAACCCAGAATTTTCAAAATGTTCTCTGGACAAAATTAATTTTTTGGAATTGTTTTTCTGTTTCCCTAAAACTTACAYAATTGAATAAATGAAATTCTGTTTGAGTGTCTTGACTAATAAATAACTTCAAAATTATCTGTMACATTAGACATACTATAATTAGTAAATGAAGGCAAATTTCACCTTGGTAACTTAGATTCATTTTTTGAATGTTATGAAAATTTCAACTAGATTCAAATAAAATTTACCTTTTTTGTCACAGTTATGCAGAAAACTTTTGCTAAGTAGAGAATTAATTAATGTTTGTTTAAGAGAATAAACTAATTTCAACCACTCTATGTACTTTAGAAGTATCCATTTATGAGGAATATTTCAGAAATATAACTACTGATAGACCTTGAAATTAACAAAAAAAGAAAGTACTGAGAATGTTATTTGTAATCATTTTGCAGAAAATGAATCCCTATGCCTTTATCTGAAAAATCACCATTTATAGAAATAATCTCTTTAGAATTAATTGTTATCTAGTCATTGTAAATACTGAGATAAGGTAACTTTACAATAGACTTGAAGTTATCTTTGTTGCCTAACATAGAGCCAAAGATCTGAAGGCCCACAGGTGAAATCTGGTGACTTGCAGGTGTTTTATTGTAAAAAAAAAAAATTAATCTGTTTTGGAAATCATTAGGGATGACAAATACCATTACAGTTTGCTACTGTCCCCATCTATCTCACTTGGTTTTTAAAAGSTTTTGGCTCCTGTGAGCCTAGATTTTAAATTCTGTCCCATCTGAAAGTTCACTGAAAGTTCTTTTCATGCAGTCACAGAGCACTGGAATTTAAGATTAAAGGTATCCGGGAGGTTAACTGACTCTTCCTTCTTTCCAATAAACCCCTAAGACCTAGAAGAGGGAAGTAGCTTCCAAGTGCTTAAGTGTACATTAACAGTTCTGTTCTTGTAATAAGGCAATACTATTCTTATTTTGAAGTTTTATATTTTGTTGTCACTGCCAGTTTGCTTCACAGGTACTCACCCCTCAGTGCAGGCAGCAGGGACCTCTCCTTCTTGTCATCACACTTGTTACACTCACTGAAGTACAGCAGTAAGAAGACATCCACAAGGACCCACATCAGTGAAGTGGCCAGAACCACTTTGCAGTAAACGAATCTCCTCATGTCTTTACTTGATTTCTAGTTAACACAGAGATTGAAGGCAAATGCTCCTTGGATAGATCCACGACACAGAGGTGAACTCCAGGTTGAAAGCAGGATGCATCCCACTGTATTAGGGAAAAAAAAGGAATTTCATTATTGTATAGGGTTTTTGTTTTGCAGAAAGGAGATATAACATAAAACATGACTTATTTCATGTTCCCAAATATGTTAGCATTCATGTCTTCAAAATTAAAAGCCCAAGTGGATAAAAGTTGTTACCAAGGCAGCTGGCTACAATTCTCACACCTGATACTAGATCCATCACTACTCTGCTGGATCATTGATAAACTAATGATTTATTCAAATTGTATTGCCTTTACCTTAATTCCTACAATGATATTCTATATAACAACAGGTTGTCAAATACTGCATTTCTGAATTTACACAATAATACTGAATACTAAATAATACTAAAAAATACAAAAATACTAAAAGATAATAAATGTTACTACTACTATTTACCAATATAACTAAAATAGAAATAATCCTGGGATACTAAATTCTACAGTGACTAAGAGCTGGTCTTTATAGATAGGTCTGGACATTTTACTTCATACCATTGGGAGATTCTCCAAGCCTCAGCTTTCTCATTTGTAAAATAAGGATAACAGTGTCATACCTAAAAATTTACTGTGAAGAATAAGTATGTCATGCTTCTAAAACATCTTATAGAACAAATATCTATTAGTATAGAAAATTTTAAAAATGGTCAGTCTCAAACCCAGCAGCTACAAGAAATAAATCAACACTTATGTACCTTTTAAACTCCCATCTGATCTACATAAAAAGTATTCCCAGCAGATTCGCATTTGAGAATAGATTAGCATGTTTTGAAACAATTTAACAGGGGAAGATAACATACTAATATAAAACGACCTAAAGTAATCAGAGTAAGAATTCTAAATGGTATAACATAGATAAGTACCTAATCATTGAAAGATACTGAAAGTAAATATAAAATTAAAACCATCCATGTTTGTTTTATACAACATTGAACAATAACTATCCGGCTAACCAGTTTTTATAGGTAGATTAAATAAATCAGACCAAAAATAATCCAATATCATTTGCTACATTTTAAATCATATCAACTAAAGCATAAATTTATTGATGTGAAGAAGTGACATTGTTTTGACAGTTTGGAGTGAATAATATTAAATACAAAGAAATTTGAAATATTTCATAAACTTTTGTTTATATCATTACAATGGAAAATCTACCATTAACTATTAAAATGTCTCAAAATACAAACATGAAATGTAATTTGCTGAGACAATTTTTTTAAATAAATAGCATTTATGTGTTACTTTATAAAAACTTAAAATTCACAAATAGTGATAGTTAAAAAATTACTATAAAAGAGTCTATTTCCAATAATTATATAAAATTTACATTCATTTAAACTATATATTTGGAGACATTGTGCAAATCCAAAGAATACATGGCACAGAAGTGTCATGCTAATTACCTAATTTGTGTCATTTCTACTTTATTTTTCTATGAAATTGATAGCTAAGTATTGGAACTCGGCCTATAATATGATGACAAGGGAAAATCTTTATTTTCTCTTACTGTGTGCATTTTTCTAAATTTGAAAAATGAAACACTTCAAGTTATAAAATTTTCTTTCTTTAGTCGTAAGATGCAGTTTGTCTCCTCAATTGACAGTGGAAAAAAAATCCTAGGGATAAGTATATGTAATGCCAATGGTTACTGAATGGTCCTCCCCAGATTTAGAAAGAATACCTTATATATAACAAATGATCCTTGAAGATGTAGGCAGCACCATGACTGTCATCAATGAAGAGATGACCTCTTGCCCTTTCTACATCATAAAATGCTGTGAGGCTTACGCAAAATAAAGAATAAGGACATTTTTAAAAAATGTATGAAGAATATCATTACAATGGAAAATCTACCATTAACTATTAAAATGTCTAAGATAACTCATTTCCTAATAAGAGCCTAACAGCTGAGCTTGTTGAGAAATTATTTTAAACTTTAGCTGTGATTGAAAGTCAAAATTACACCTTTTTGCCACTTCAAGAATTATTCAAATTATCTTGATTCTATACCCTGCTAGATCTACATGTCATGACATTAGGACTGAGAAATGTCTAACTTTACTATTTCAGGTGATAAAACCAAGTTGCCATTAAAATCTTTTATTTATGCAATTTTTCCTTACATAGTTCAAGTTTTCAATTCTATCTATATCTTAAAATTACCTCTACCTTGACAATAGACTCAGCTTTAACATTCAAAAGGATCTTATTCCCTAGCACTTACAAACTAATAATTCTATGTGTATGCTCCAATACTCCTCATCTCATGAGAACAAAACTAAGCAGAAAGATGGTACAGGATGCATGGTTACTAACCAACATAAGCACAGTTGGTGGCCCAGATTTATTTAAAAGAATCAGCATCTGCATTACGTTTTTATTCCAGTAAGCTCCTATTTATTTGCAAATACTATTCTGTTTCTCAAGCAGTAAGGAAATCCAAGTTCTGCAAAGTCCCTGGCTTGCCAATCCAATGTGGATCACGACCAACTTGTATAAACTATGTGCTMCACTCTCTCCTACTATGACACCTTTTATAAGGATTTCAAAAATCTTTTGAGTAAAGCACAAATATTGCCCTCTTTAAAAATACTTCTCTATGCTGTATAAAGTGGTGAATGCCTGTATCCCATTGATATAAAGGCTGAGGCAGAAAGATCACAAGTCTGAAGCCAACATGGGAGTGTCTCAGAATATGAAAGGGCTGAGAATATAGCTTGAGAGAGCACCCCTGAGTTAAACCCCAATTTCTATACACACACACACACACACACACACACACACACACACGTATATACATTGCATATATGTATATGAATATATATATTTTCCCCACTAGATAGGAAAATGTCAAGAAATAAAAAACTATCAAGTACCATCTTGCCAATCAGTTGCTTTTCCCTTTTTCTCCTGCCAACTAAATAATATCAGTCATATATTCCAGATTTTTACTTTAAAATATATACCATTCTTCCAATATTTATTAAAATGGTGTTTAAATATAAAAATAAAATCCAGATAAAGTTTAGAGGTTTGGGTAACTGTGGTATTAAAATAAGAAGAAAAACATCTTTGTTTTGATTTTGGTTTGTTGTTTTTTTCAATTAGGAGGTTATTACTTCCCTGAGGAATTGAGTTTAGTTGCTATTAGACATTTTTATCTATAGTCATATATTTTCTTTAGTAGAAAATTGCATAATGGGTGCAAATTTATTCAATCTATTTTATGAGACTATACTCAAAGCTGCCAAAGGATCCTGGAAGCTAGTGTAAGACTGCTGGTAGGGTTTCCAGAAGGTTCAGACACCAAGCAAACTTTATTGTTTTAAATAGTTATACAGGAGCTTCTGGAAGCTGATGACCAGACAGTTTTGCACACACACACACACACACACACACACACACACACACTAAAAAAAATCCTGATTTGGCTCTAAATATGATTGGTAGAAAGACTGATATTTGCATGAATGATGATCAAAATTATTAAAATAGACCTGGGGAATCCACCTAAAGCCTAAATCAAAGGGTCTGCTATAAAAAATCACACCAAGCTGATACATTCAGAGACAAAAAAAAAAGTGAACAAAGGTAATGTTCAATACATGCCTTTTGTAAAAGGTGATAGGATAGAAATAAAGAAATATGCCCTTCACTTAAATTTCAATTAAGACCAAATATTCATAAGATCAAATTCAACATTTAGGAGGCAACCTAGCATAGGATCTAAAATACGTATTTTTCTAAAACACATATGTTGCAGAATTACAATTTTTTTATTTGAATTGGATTCCAATACTCAGTAAGCACATGAGTTAATTCAAGTTAATGCCTTGATATTCCTACCCACATGATGAGAATAATGGTAACTTCTTCATACGTCTAGGATAAATGTTAATGAATTASTATACATAAAGTTCTTATAACAGTGTCTGCCACAAAGGACTTAGTATGCAGTAGTGCTTAATAACAGTAATAGTGTTATTATCAAACAGGAAAAAAGAATGAAGACTCAACTATCCTTCTAGAAGAAGCACATGTTCAGTTTGTTCAGGAAGTTGGAGAACACAAGCATCACAAGGAAGAAATATTTAATAGATGCAGTTTCTTAYGGGGTATGAGTTGTAGGGTTTAACAATACTCAAAACTCATTGAACTGTACACTTAAAAGCTGTGTGTTTTACTTCTATGTAAATTATACCTCTTTTATAAGATATAAATTAAGATGAAATGTCTATGTAGGTAGGATAAGATTCCCTGACATCAATAATTTTTGATTAATTAAAGAACTATACCAGATAAGAGAGATTCATATTAAACCTTTCTGATCTCCTCTTCTGCCATTGTTCTCCATGCCATTCACTTGGGTCTCCTGGCTATTTCTTAAATGTGCCAATTACTGCCTTGCCTCGGGAAATGTGCATATACTGTTTTCTCTGCCCAGTGACATATTCATGGCTCCCTGCTTTCATTTCCCTCAATCTTCCTTCTTTACTGCACAAGTCTCACATGACAGACAGCTTTCCTACCAATCAATCCAAAGGAGAACACACTTAATCACTCTCCATTTCCTTACCCTCTCCACTTTCTTTCTTAGCACTTGTCATCCACAACATATTTAAAAAATAAATTTTGGTTATTATTTGTTTCCCCTATATTAAAAAGTAATCTGTATGACAATAGGATTTTACAACTCTTGCACATGCTCTCTCTTACTCCAATATATTTTAAATATATTTTAAAATATATTTATCTTAATAGACTTTAAAACTCCAACATTACTCATTATAGACTCAATTTCCCATACTGCCCTACCCCCCCCCAAAAAAAAATATTCCTATGCTAATGTCACAATCCCCTGTAATTTAGAATGTAACTAAATAGARAGAGTGTCTTAAAAGAGTAATTAGGATAAAATGAGGTCATATGGACAGCCTAATTCAACTGATATCCTTAAAGGAGATTACGATACAGACACACACATTAGAAAGACCATGGAA